GGTATAAGTAGTATTGGTTTTAATGTATGCGTGTTTCAAATCTGTTACTCAACAAAAAAAAAGTAACAGCAAGCCGCTGGTAGTATAGGCTTACAGATGAGAATTGTATTTATTAGAAAGCATTAAAAAGTCTAAACTGCTCTATTCCTTCGTAGTCTTAAAAAAAAAAAAAATTGCATGCACACAAAACGTAGAAGGGTGATTGCAGGTGTCTCATTACTTCTCTTTTATGACAAGAACATCTTGTAACTCAAGCGGTGGAAGAAGACTTGCATGTGAATGATGTTTCAAGCTTTGTTTTTTACTTTATGTATGAACTTTGGGCAAAGTTGTTAATTGTCCTTTTCCAGGCTGCGGTTCTAGGACTTCACTTAACTTCCCTATTCAGTCCTGCTCCCTTCCTTGCATTGGAACTGGTGCTGTCTTAGCCATTTAGTGATGTGTTTCAGCTCTCTCAAGCTAGTAGGAAGAAAATGCAGCAACCTTCTGCCCAAAAATCTCCAGCAAAACCCAGAATTCTGCCAACTGAATTAGCTGATGTAACTTACTGAGGGGTTAGAGTGGCAGTGCTGGGTGTGGGATTGCTTGCCAGAAGCATGGCAGTTCTGTGTAAGCATTGATTCTAGCTGGCTTCAGTCATGGACTACCATAAACCTATGCCCTGTTTTGAACCGGGGTAATACTTGCTTCCTGGTAAAATTCAGTGACCTTTTTTGAGGTCTTGGATGAATGGAAGAAATGAAGCACATGCTACCTGCAAATACCAGTGCAGCATCAGAAATGTTGTTTTAGACTTTACAAAGTCTTGAATGCCTGCAGATACGACCCCTCTTTCTTTTTTAAAGTAAGTGCCACAGAAGTGCCTGTTACTTGGCTAGGATTTGCAGCAAAGGGCCTGTTTCGGTGGGTGATGTTTTAACGGAATGTAATGCAACTGAGACTTTAATCATTGTCAGTTGAAGAACAGAAGTGTCCTGAACTATTTTCTTTGTTACTTAGCAGCGGAAATGACTTTTTTTTTTTTAGATTACAAACTACCAGACTTTTAGGAATTGCATTTTACTTTTATTAAGCTTTGACTGGAAATCAAATGGATAAAATGTGGAACATTACTAAGATGGTAATTAACTTTGTTAAGGAATTGTATGTAAGTGGAAACTGGGTCGTTTCTACAGTTTTGTAGCAAACAGCATTCTAAAAGTGTTCCAGGATGGATAGATGTTAAATACTGTAACAACTTAGTGTGAGACTGCTTAAGTTCCAAGAACAAAAGCATTAGTGGACCACAGTAGTGTGTGTTAGGCAAGGTACTTATTTAAGAGAGATTCTTCCCCAGCTCTTGTGGTAGAATTGTCATGAAATGAGCACAAAGTGGCATTCAGGTCTTGTTCTGACAGTGTTTCTGCACAACTTTGAAAATAAATAGTAAGAAAATATATCCATTACAAAGGAATGTGCAGTTTGTTTTACAGTATTTGCATTGATCTATGGTTTTTTGCATGTATCTGTAAAATTATTTTTAAAAGCAGAATTTCCTAGAAATGTGCTCATTCTGAGTGTAGCAGGAAAAGCTACAGGCAAAAGCGTATCTAATTCGGGAGTGCTGGAACTTCAGCATTAACAGTGGTTGGCCTTTGTGTTCAGCTTCCTGAAATGTGGATTTAAGAGGAGGATGATTGTCCTGGTATCTGTCCCAAGATTGAGATTTAACAGGCTTGATCAAAACTGAGTTTGATTGTTTGGCTTTGGCAAGAATGAAAGGTGAAGCATTTGCGCTTCCCAGGCATGCTTGTGTAGTCTGTAATCGGAGCATCTTTAATAAGTCTGATTATCTTCATTTCAGCTGAAAGAATTAGTTGACTGTAATTTATATACAGTTGACTCTATGCAATTTATATACAGATGATGCACAGTAGGCACTTATTTGCATACACATTAACATGAGAATGCTTTGGAGGGGATGCCAACAAAAAGGTTGAAAGCCATGATTCTTTGGGTTCGCTTTATAGTAGTTTCCCTAGTGTTTGATGTGGACTTTAAGCATTACGCAGAAGTGGACTGCAAGGTTCCATATTTCAATGTAACAGATGCCCTTCCAAGTAAAATTACAGTAAGAGTGGGATGATTGCAACCACTGGGTAATACTATATAATTATACTTAACACATGTTGGGTCCTTCAGAGAAGACCTGAAAATAATTATTTTTAATTAGAAGTGATCTGAAGTTTTCTCTGCATTACAAAAACTGCAAGCACCATTTGTAAACTGGTGGATCTCTACTTGCATTTCAGTGGTGAAAGCTAAAGTGTGAAAGTACATCCCTGTTCAACCAAAGTTGAATTAATGCATGTGTGTGTACACACAAATTCAAAGTATGGATGCATTTGACATTGTTTCCAGTAAGAAGCAGCTTGCAGGCTTCCAGTGCCATAGGTTTTTCCCCCCTTGCTTAAGTGGAATTCTTTTCTCTTAATCTGCACTTCGAGATCAAATCTGAGTTGTCTGACCTTTTCTATTCATTTTCTGTACCTTTTCAGCTTTGTATGGCTTCTGTTTAAGTCATCCCTCAGAATGCACATCCTTGTGGTGTTCTGAAGTCATTGACTACTAATACTCCTACTAGTTGGGGTTTTTTTCCCTATTTTGCCCAAATATTTGCAGAACGCTCTTGCTGGTTTTCCAGTCTTCCCTCTTTCTTTCTTCTCATTGCTGTTCAGAATGGTGAGAGGGTTACAGGGTCGTCTTTTCTTCTAATTGCTGTAGAGACTGCAAGGAGGAGCAGCATATTTGTAGGGATATGGGGGTGTGGGAGAGGTCTGTTTGTGTTTGAGTGGAAGGGTATCTCCACCTTGCTTAAGACTTTTACCCCACAACTTGGAAATGTTGAGATCGAAGTGAAGCTTGAATGTCTTATGGGTTTTGTAAGTTTAGAGGCAGAATGTGACAAAATCAACGCTGAAGGAGGAGCAGAGATGTGAATGAGAATGAAATGCAGGGAAACACTAAGTTGAAAGTTTTCAAGTAAATGAGAGTCCTTATTTACAAAGGGAGGATACATAGAAGAAA